TATGACCAGTTTATTGAAGACACATAGGTTTGCAAATCTCTCACCATTTTCGTTCCTTTCTCCCAGTCCATGTTGTCCCATGACGTCTTCGTATCCAGTGTTGTCCTTTGCAACCTTTGCATTGAAATCTCCCATTAGAATGGTCAGGTCCTTGGTTGGGCACTTTTCGAAGATTGACTGCAGCCTATCGTAGAATTGGTTTTTAGCGTCTTCATCGTAGTCGTTGGTCGGCGCATAGCATTGGATGATGTTCATTGTAATGCCCTCTCTCTTTGTTCTGAAGGAGGCTTTGATGATCCTCGGTCCATGAGATTCCCATCCTATAAGTGCATTTTGTGCTTTTCTAGACAGCATCAATGCAACTCCTTGTGTATGTGGGGCATTTTCTTCTTCATGACCGGAGTATAACAGAAGTTCCCCTGAAGACAGTCGTTGTTGTCCAACCTGCGTCCAATGTGTTTCACTGATTCCAAGCACTTCCAGGTTGTATTTCCTCATTTCCGCAGAAATTTGGAAGACTCTGCCGGTCTCCCACATTGTCCGGACATTCCATGTACCTATAAAAATTGTCGCTCTGGTTGTAAGAAGGTGCATCGGCCTCATGACTTCCGAATGAACTCGGCTTTCATCATGAGACGTCATTTTTCCTTCTACTCCCAGGGCAGAGTTTGAATGGTTTGAATGATTTTTTCTGGTTAGCGTTTTTTTAGCGAGTTGATTTTCTACGGGATGGGGTCGCTAACCCCATGCCCAACCCTCCTCCTTTACCCGGGCTTGGGACCGGCAGTAACCCCTGGAGGAGCTACAGGCGGAGTTAAGCTAGTCAAATTGTTCATTTTATTTCAGTGAGTAAATACGATCACAGATTCTTATGTTTGTGTATATGTGTGTATGAATTAAAGGTTCAATTTATCCTGAGTTGTGACCTCAATATTCATTTAATTAATTGTAATTTTGCATTATATAAATGTATAACAAGTTATCAAGTTGTATTAATTCATTATCGGTCCATTATATCGAAAAACTCGTTTTCTTTTTTCATTTTCTACAATTATTTCTCTGTTTTTCGCCCCACCTTTTATTGTTTCGGTTTAATACAACGACCTTTGCTTCTTTGATTCAACTGGTCTCATATTATTTATGATGATTAGGGTGTAATTTCAAATGTGTTTAATTAGATTCCTATTTAGTCATTGTTAATCCTTTGTTTATGAGTGGATAATTCACTTGAGTGTTTCATTTTTCCTTCGAGATGTTTCTTGTAATTTTTTTGCCGAATAGAAAAAAACACTCATTTAAACAACCTTGTCTTTTTGTTTAGGGTATACATGTTCAACTGTTTAACGGTTTAATTATTAATTTAGAATATATATTAACTTGTTTCACTTGTGTGGAGTGAGTGAAATATCCATTTATCAACTAAAGGATGAGTTTAATGTGCAACAGTTCTCTTCGTTCTGCTTTATGAATGTGAAACATAGTCGTTAGTAATTGCAAGTATTCATAGATTACTAATGTCAATCATAGATATTTTTGAAGCACATTGCTCTTATATTTTCGGAACATCGAGAGTGAAATAACGGGGCTTTATATAAGGTACGAGGTAAATATCGATTAGGTTGTAAGTTTTCATCATCTGAGGTGCTTGTTTTGTCTTATGTAAGCAGGTTCAAAGAATGTTACGGGGGCCGAACCAAGGTGTGGCATCAGTCTATGGGATCCTTGACAATTTTTTCATGGACTGATGTCATTTCTTAGACGTCGAAACCAGTGGTTAGATACTTTATGTGACGTGGCTCAAAATTATTAGCAATGGTTCATATGCATTTGCTGTTTGTGTTTCTTTAGATCCTGAATCCCGAAATCTCATATGTTCTTTATTTCATGCCCAATCTTTTCTACTACCGCTGATACTGTTAATACTTCCACTACTCTGGGATTTATCTCGAAGTAATTTCATCTCTCCGTGTCCATGCTATGTGGCCACTTGGACTGATGCCTACATGTATCACGTTCTACTACTTTGTTATTTCATGTTACTAAGCATTACTTTCCATGCAAACAGTATTAATAATAAGTAATATGCTTTAACTATTGTGATTAATATCAGGATTATCTGTCTGCATATTCAAATAATTTAAATGTCATGAAGAAATCATACAATTTAAACATGCTTAGATATTTCATGCCAAGAATGTCTTAAATAGATTTCTTCGTTAAAAAAAAGATTTAAAAAAATAATTCGTTGAAATCATTTTATATAAGTGTCAAGTAACTACATTAATAGTTTATTGTTATTATCTCATGTTATATACATAAAGCATAGAGATGACAAACTATTTGATGTAACAAAATTTGTTCCTTTCTGTATGACGAAAAAATTTAACATAAGATAGATCATCATAGTAAAGAAATGCAAATATTTTAAAGGTTTTTTTCTTACATCACATGAAAATAATATCAACTAAAAGTCTAAATTTAAAGAAATGTTGGATGTGTATTATGATGGGCGTTGTCCGGGATCGGATATTGATACACGGCGTGCAACACTCTAACTCTCTATCTGGCTACTTAAGCAAGAACACAATAGTGAACGAAAAAGTATATATATATATATATATATATATATATATATCTGTCCCCTAAGAAAATCAATCAACTTAGTCAATGATATGCATTTATCCTTCGGATCATTTCAGATTGTCATCAAGTGGCCTTCTCATTTGGCTACTTCTAATTGACTTACCATATCAATGGAATAGCTGTTTTCTACTCATTTTAGGCACATAAATTAGACTGAATCCATTGGATTCAGGTTTTAAAATAATCAAGTTAAATTTAAACTAATTCCATTTCGTTTAATTCTCATCAGCTGCTTACAGCCTGTAATATTTAAAAATCGTAATTACAAAATTGGTTTAAATTACCTAAATAAAAGGGTTTAGTTGGAAGGTGTTATGATCATTTTATTCTTACTTATTATTAGCATTTAATCATCATGTAACCACTTGTTTCTAGCCTTTTAGACTTTCCTTTACTTTCATTGCGGTAAGATGTTCTTTCGTTTAAGGTATACATTCACAATATTTTATTCCGTCTATTTAATTTATTTACACATTTGCTATACTATACTGATGTGTAATCATAGCAACTCATAACTAAACTCTTTCATGTAAGTAATTTAAACCGAGTTTGTAATCATGATTTTTAAATATTAGAGGCTGTAAGCAGCTGATGAGAATCAAATGAAATAAAATGAATTCATGCTAACCTGATTAAATCTTTGTTTTTGCTTTCTTCAAGATGATAAAGGGAACTATATGTATAGATTTAAACTATTGAACTTGAATTTAATGATCCCTTTTTTCAAACTACATTCAACTTGGTGTGTAACGCTACAGTGTCATTTGTACACCACCACATTAAGTCCTACATTGTTAATTCCATAGATCACAGCTTTTCTTCTCGAAACTAGTTACTCGTGAGCACATGATTATCATTTATCAAGATCGTTTTCAAATTAGATCGTCAGGCTTTACTCTAGTATACATGAAAATTTATATGGGTATAAAAAAGATAAAGATAATCAGAGTAGTTTATTATTCAGCAATCACAATGAAATAGATTGCATAACTACACATTATAGGTTAAGGGTACCTATTGATAGTAAAAGGACAGATGTACTAGTCGCAGTGATTCGAGTAACAGACTAAGTCCCAGTCTGTAGTTCAATGTAGGAAGTAGATTAAGCTTGGATAAATAGATATGAAACTAAAATAATCACAAGAAATTGTTAAAATTAAGTAATAAATAGTGAATAAATAGTTAGATAGTGAAGAGTATGAATGGAAAGAGGTGAAGAACAACAAACAAATGCAGGATGTGAGAAAATTAATAAATCCGTTTATTAAGTAATACCTAGCCAAGGAAGGGACAGGGTCGTCACGAATTTCTTCTGAACACCTAAACTAGGGTTATAAGTTTGGATCCCCATAGCTTTTGCTGTGTGTAAGAGATGAGATCGAACCTCATAAATTGCCTTGATCGGTTCGATGTATCCATATATCTATATAACTATTATATGTGTTATGATAAAACCTGATGATGATCTAATGGGAAACAACATTGTTCGCTTACATATGTGTTGTTTTAAGTTTCACAATGGAAATTCTTAGTACATTAGACCGTTTTGTTGAGAATTTAGTATAATTTTTGAGTAGCTTGTTGTTCTGATTAAAGTCATTCATAGGACCAGTTAAAATCATATACTATTGTGTATCTGTCTTAAAGCTAGTTTGGAAATCCTTTTCAGTTTTGACTAACGTAGCAGAAAACATGTTGTTACCAATACTACTATATTATTTTTGTAATCCATGTGATGAAGAAAATCTTTCTGATGTATTCTCCTCCATAATCCTTGAACGTTTTATCAATTTAAACCTGTTTTCATACTGTTTAACTGTGTGCTTTTGTAAGATTGGTCAACTTGAAACAGTTTATTGCCCCAATACAAAACATTTAATATTCAATCATTTGGATGCTGATTTAGCCTCCGCTCCATCAATTTCGGGTACCGTGTTATATCATGTGCGCCCACACTGAAACCCATGTGGTTCAAAGCGAATTGTGAGGACTTATGGAAGTAACTTCTTTACCAAATAATAGTTTTATGTACTCAGTTTTCAGCCACACAGTGTGTGCGTGTGTGAGGGTTAATGATACTGTCTGGTTGCTGAAATGTGAAGTTGATGGGATACAGTTTGGATCTGCAACTTAACGGTTGAAAGCCCGAGTATCTCAAGTGATAAACTATCCTTCTCTAAGTGTTATAATAACTCGAACTAGTTTATTAAATCTCATTTATTCAAGTATTTTAACTGAATGCATCATTGCATCATTCATTCCTACATGGACTTTGTTTCATTTTTTTAAGGAAGCTTTTAGTTACAACTTATCTCTTTTTGTAATGTTTTTTCTTTTGAATTATTAATTTAAAAAAGATGGGACCATTTCATGATCATTTCTCACAAATATTTGAATTAGCGTGGAACAAAAAATCGGATTCGCCTGATGTTAAGAAAAAAAAGCATAGGTAAGTTTAAAATAAAATTCCTTGAAATTAGTTGTATATATGTACGTCTTATTCTTTTGCATACATTTTATTGAGAACCTGTATGTGGCTTAATATCAGGCGACTCTTTCACTATGTAATACTAGTTTCTGGCACTTACATCGTATTAATTTGCTTAGCTTATTCACTAGGCCGAGATTCGTGTACTTAGCTTTGAACTACACTCTAAATGTTAAGGACTAGTGATACTACTACCCAATTGTCCTAGATGAGATGGGTGGCAGATGGTTGAAACCTGGAACTTAATATCTAAAATTTGAATGACTTAACCACTGAGCCACTGCTATTCGGCTTATTATAATTAAAGGATGAAGTTTTAAACTAGAATGGGTTTTGGGTTTTAATTCTTACTCTTTTCAGTGGATTTCGGATCGATCAGATAATATCAAACGAAGAATGTAGCCTAATCTGATTGCATAAAATTGTGCTTAATAAATGCCTTCCGTCGTTATTAGTGTTGACTGATCTTAGTTTGTTTCAAGAGGGTGTGCTATACGATAAGAGGCTTGTGTAGATTGTTGAAATTTATAGTTAACATTACGGATTGACGTTAATTAGACGAGCATCAATAACCACTAAGCTCTTGGTAGCTATTTCATCCTTTTATGGGACTCACTAACAATGCATATCAACCACCTCACCGGTAATCAAATCCACGACCTTTAGGTCTCGCAACGAGTGTTATTAAATTCTTGTGAATATTTATCGATCAAAATATATGGTATTTTCTGGATCTATCTTGTCGCTAACGTCGTTATTTTTATCTTGCCTACCTTTTCTATAATCACTGGTTGTTTGAAGTATTGGCTCAGTAGCCAAGATGTTCAACTTTCAACCGCTGAGTCACAGGTTAGAACTCGGCTCCGCCTATTTAGACTTTCGGCAACCGCTGGTAGTGGCAACTCTCACTCAAACTTAGAGTGTGTGGTGCTTGAAGTCAATTACATAAATCTCTACCTGGTAAATGAGTTACTACATAAAAAAAGAACCACTAATCAGTCTATTTGGTAGAAATCTGTTTATCCTTATAAAATATTATAATGATTCGATAGTTGTTCTACAGATAAGAAATGATTTTAGAGAAAAAAAAATTATCAAATCAAATTTCTCTTCCAAGTTACAGTGTAACATGTCTATCTTCTCTGTAATTTTTCCCCTTCAATCTCCTGTGCAACTTATGTCATCAGAACAATTTTAAAGAAATTATAAATGAATGAAAAATGAGCAGTTAATTGATATCAATGGTCAATACTTGTTTACTCCGTTTCTTTGTATCGTTTTTCTTATTTCTGAAATGTATAAAACCATAGTACACAATTCCATAGTTTTAGTTAAGACCTTATTTTTCTCTTGTTAATTGTAACGTTCTCGATAAACAATCTTTATTATTATTGCTCAGCTAACGAAATCAATTGTCACTTGTCTCCAACCAATACTACTACCACTACTATCATTACTATGATTAGCATAATATTTATCGATCACTGAAATTTTTCAGGGTTTAGTAAATAGGATTATAACGAACTAGTTTTGTTTCCTGAACAATTAATCTTGTGACTACATATATATATATATATATATATATATATATATAATTATGTCACTTCAGTGCCAAATTTTGAAATCACACGCAATTAATCATTGAGATGATAAGATATATGATGATGTTATAAAAATAACATATTTAAGTCAAATTAGTTTATAGTTTTCTGTCACTGCTGTTTAGTTTAAGAGTAGTAGTATGTTTGGTGAGGAAATTAAATATATTTAACACTGGTAAACCGTTGTCAAGATTTATGTAGATTGAATTTTCTTAAAAACACAGTTCATTATATCAGGTATGCTATGTGATCTCAAAGAGATGATGTAGTATGGCAACTTAAACTAATCCGTATGTATGTGTTAAATTCCTATATTGTTCGTTATTGACGAACTGATTGATTCCTATTCCACAATATAGCATACTTCATATTTTCACTGAGAAATGAAATTGTGTTATTCATAATATGATATGTTGAACTCAAAAAAATTAGCCATTTCTCAAAATTACTTAATTTTTATTTGATTTACACTAGTTTCCCTAATGAAATTAATATATGTCGAAAACATTCAGTCACCACTATTATCTTCTCAATCTCTATGTCATTCAATTTTTTTTCTTTTCAACTAATTTTTAGCTTTTCGATTGTAATTATTAGTTTTGCCCTTGTTTTGTAAACAGAGTAATAATTTTAGCCTATATAAGTGGGATAATAGATAATAAATTAAAGGAGGAGTCGCATAAAAGTACACGCTATTGCATAAACAAACACATTTACTACCTCTCTCTCCTAAAATCTAGAGTAAAATAACAAACAAACAAGTAAACGAATGAGTTTATATTGTTGATGCGTGTATGTGTCCGATTCTCTTTTTTCACTCATATGAGAGTGATGATTTATAGGTTAAGTATGTAGTACATACTTTTTGGTCGAGAGACTGTTTATCCATCAGAATATATCTGTATATGTCACGATATTCATAGTTTAAGGTCATATACACTTTTTTTAGAGAAACGAAGCCTATTCAAGTTGTATACGGGAGAAAGTTCTCGTTTGTCCCAATTTATTATTGTGGTTGATGGATTATATCTTATGGTTTGTATTATTCCCATTATTATTATTATTATTATTATTATTATTATTATTATTATTATTATTATTATTATTATTATTCACGCCGTTGTTTCTTTTCATAAATTTCACATCTTACCATTGATTTATTGAAAGATTCCCTCTTATACTAATCATATGCCTATTATGACCTTACTTATTGTGAACTATAGAAAAATATAGAAAAATACATTATTTTATTTTTTCTTCTCACAAACTATACTATTGCTTCCATGTACTACTAACGAAAGTTAGAAAATATAAAAGATAAAAGTCGATTACCGCCAACCACCACCTAATATATCTTAACATAGTGCACGTGATGTCAAATAACCTAGAGTGAGTAGTAGGCACATTGCAATTTAATCGATAGAATTAGTTTAACTCTAAGGAGGACCTAATATATATAACATTAGTCTCTATCAAGAAACCAATCAATAGTAAGTATATCTCAGTCCTACAGGAGGTCAGTTTCAGCCTGAATACCTTAGTGGTAATGCATCTGACTATGATGCTGGGTGACACGCCAAATAACACAGAACTAGGTTTAGAGGGTTTTTGGTCGACTCCTTTAAACCACCACCCTACAAGATTGGATAGTGTTTCATGCTAACTTGATACTCTTTATCAAAACTCTCAGTCAACAAAACATATTTAAACCACTGACTTCAAACCTGGTGGTCGGCATTTCTAATTTATGCACCTCTTTGAGAATTGAAGTATGAGCAAACTGTCCAACATTACCTAGGTCTCAACAATTTTCCAACCGATATCAGTTCACTACGAAAGTTAAATTTAAAACGTAATAATCTTCATAATAAACCTTTTATAGTAAAATGGATTATCATTATTAGAATAGAAAATTCTATAATGTCAACAAAACTTCATGCTGATAATATTTATTATGTTATGCATTATTATTATCACTATTACTACGATTATTATTTAACCAAACTCCACTTTTTGGTAATCATTCTCTGCAGAAATTGTTTCAAATTGTCGACATACCTATTCATATATATGCCAGCAACCAGTTCTGTGGAAGGGATGAAAAGTGAATTTTTTATGGATTTTTATCGGTATTTACGAATAAATTGTTCATTGTAGTCCTGAAGTGTCTTTGATGAACATAGGACACAGTATTAAAGTTTCATATATTTTAAAAACATTTTTAAAAGAAAATTTCAGATCTATATTAGGTTAAGGAAGGCCTTAGCCTCCTGTGGGTTACTTCCAGACTTCATTGCCGGTCACTTTCGATCGCTATCAACTTTGTATCAATTATTTTTTCCAGTTTATTGTTTCTTATCATAGTTGATAACCTATTTTGCTGTGTCGCCTAAAATTTTTCAATGTCCAGTAATAAAACCCCAAGTGTCAGCAGCAAAACTGAAACTAGAATTCCAGAAATATGCTAGAATTGTCAACATTTTAAGTTCATTTCTTATCCAACCAAATATTTCATCAATATAAACCCTAACATCTAAGGTAATGAGATTTTGTTATTTCTCACATGTACTTAAATTCTATATAATAATGACGCAATTAACCTTATTTAATAAATATGTTCTTTGTGAATCGGCTACTTTACTGGTATTTATAAATTCGATTTTTATCTTTCATGAACTTGTGCTGTTTTTGATTTACTAATTAAGTTCACGATTTCTTTTTTGGCTGATGTTTGTGTTATTATTATTTTTATTATTGAGTAGCCTGTTAAAATAAACTCTGTGATTCTTGACAGAGGTAGTAGTTACGACTTAGATAGTCTGTTATCACTCGGTGATTCTCTGTATTTATGCTTTTTTATTTCGTTTCTTACCGTTGAAGTGTTCATTTATTAGTATAGGATGTTTGTGGAAATGATTGAATATTTTTAGTTTGCATCATAGACTGACCTTAACGTGATAAGCTGAGTTCGATCCCTGGTGGGATCGTTGATGCACACTATTGAGATGAAACAGTCATCAAATGCTTCTTGGTTTTTGGTGATCATATAACTAAGGTCATTTCATGATGTAAATCAGATATTTCATTCACCCAAGAGAAACGATCATTCAAAAGCTGAAAGCATTAACCAGTTGTTCCGTCCTAGTATGAATTTTCTTAGGAGTGTACCTCCACGGCCTCACTTAGTTTGGAACCAAGGACCTTTGTTCCTTTATAGTGGAAGCTTGACCTTCAGACCTCTGAACCAGCATTCAGTGGTTTATATGCCTAACTTCAGTCAATTCGCTGTATTTTACAACCATCTCCCACTGTTTTTGGTGGGTACTTCCCTCACATTCGGCAAATTCGAACTCCACTAGTCATGAATTCCCTCTAATCGGGAGATCTGAAAGTCATAGGTTCGATCCTTGGTGAGATTATGGATTAACACTGCTAAAAAGTTTCACACTAGCACGAAACAAGTGTCAAATGTTGAATATTTGTTCAAATTATGTTGATTAGTTATTTCTTCCCAATTTTGGCGTTTCTCTGCTATTATTTATGTTGTTAGTTGAACCCATTTTACATTGTCTCTCGCCAATCTGCATTTTATGTTATGATTAGCATTTTCATGACATAATTTTACCAACTCAATAATAATGGGTAATAAAGTAATCGAATAAATTACTATCTATACCTAAACCTCATCATTTGATATAAACATTGTTTTTTTATTACTTTAAAGTGTATTGTAATAGTCAAAAATCTTATTGTACGCTGGCTGAAACTCACTTGAAAGTATGATTTGAACAGTTAGTCATACTCAACGTTGAACCTGACTCATATGTACATCCATCGGTCCAAGTTTCCACACTATATCAACATAATGAGATGAAAATATCAAGACAAATGCGAGAGTAGAAGTAGTTAAATTATCAATAGCAATAGAAGAGATGAAACATAAACGATCAAGTGGAAATAATCCATTTGCGGAATGAAATATAAAATAATTTTGAAACTACAGAATCTAAGGGAAAACTAACATAGAAAGGATTTAGGTTATTGTGAACGATTTTAAATCATGTTACCTAATTAGAAGGGGATTTGTGGAGATTTCATTATATTTCAAAGTTGAAATCATGAGTCGATTGAGGCTAGACCACCATCGAAAATCTGGAAGCACTGGACGGCCGTTTCGTCCTATTATGGGACTCCTCAGGAGTGCGCACCCATGATCCCGCACACTCGAGATTCGAACCCAGGACCTACCAGTTACGAGCCAGAGCCCTTAACCGATAGACCACTGAGCCGGCATCCAATGGTGTTAATGTCTAACTTCAACTGATCCACGAATTATGAGCGACATAACACCATTGGATGCCGGCTCAGTGGTCTATCGGTTAAGGGCTCTGGCTCGTAACTGGTAGGTCCTGGGTTCGAATCTCGAGTGTGCGGGATCATGGGTACGCACTCCTGAGGAGTCCCATAATAGGACGAAACGTCCGTCCAGTATTACCTAATTAATTAAGATAATTGTAAAAACACAAACCAGGTAATCTGCACTTACCAATATACGCTTCAGTCCATCATTTAGATTTTCACAGACTGGCGCCACCTCTACATCAACAGGGAATATTTAATTAAATTTCTCATTTTATTATAGATAACTTTATTCCAATTTTTTTTGTTTGTTACTGCCAATTTTTCTTAATTGATTTTCCTAAGTTAATCAAAGTCAATACATAGCAATAATATACATAGTTTATAGTTTTAATTATACAAATATATTTATATATTTCTATTACATTCAAAGTATCGACGAAGCTCGATTCCCTGTTCAGTTAGATTTGGCTATTCACGTATTACAAACTGGTGAAGTGAGTTTAAATAATTGTAACATTTTTTAATATTGAACGATTTTCATGGTTTAGTTTGGGTGATTGTTTTCATTTGTCTCAGTTAATGTCAATAAAATTATCAGTTAAATAATATTGTTAAGATTATGTTTAACTTCATCTCACTAAATGACATGAACTAGAGAACTATCATAAACTATGTAGCCCTTATAGACTTTTCGACTAAGTTTCCAGATTCAGTTGTTGGTTTCTGAGACTTCATGGGGAGAATAAGACCTTCAAACTATTTAGTTACAATCCTGTAGTGATATGGTGCAACACTTTTTCAATATCATGAGTAATCTGGTACTTTATTCTCAGGTTGGTTTATTTCTTTTGTCATAGCTACTGACTAGAATGCCTCGAAATGGATCTCAGAGCTAGTCACCAATAAGCGTAATATTACCATCTATTCAAATGACTTTGTGTGGAGATTTTATACAATTTGAAAGTGATAACGCCAGGTTATCTCGATATACATCATTGAAAAATATTATACCAGCTCTTTTCAGTTCTAATGTATACTTTTCAGATGATGTTAGGTGTTTGATGAAAGTTATCTGTGAACTGTACAAAATAAACTGTAAAACTCCATAACTAACCTTTAATTAAAAAATACTTACATATTAAGTGGCTAGAGGTATTCAATAGAAAACTCTGAACCCAGTTGTCGTGTTGGTTGACAAAAGTCATCAAAAAATACCATACAATCTTAATGGAACTGAAGGCCCTTATGGGATTAGAACCTGTATCACCCAGATTCACAGCCGGAGACATTATCACTATGCTTTCAAGTCTCAACTGGACTCTTGTAGGGCTGATGTATTTATATTTGGTTGATCCTTGAGTATTAACCAATCTTAAGTTTGTTTGGTACTTTAGTCTTGTGACGTGGTCGATAGGATTCGACCAATATTTGTGGTTCTTTTGTGCTGCTACTATAAATCTACTCAAGCTTCAAATGACCCAGTTGTCTCCTGTGTGTGAACAAATCTACCTCTCCAGCTAAACATATTCATAAAGCTGACTAACTTAATGTGAAATTTTAATCAGTGGATTTGGAGCGCTGGATCAATGATTATAGCTCTTGACTTTCAGTCAATAGGTCGCAGACTCGAACCCCGTCCCACTTCGATTTAGTCAGCCATTGTAGTATCATTAAGCCTCACACTTACAGTTTGGCTCAAAGCAAAGTAGAAGAATCTTTATGTAGTAAATGAGTTGATAAACTATTGCATATACCTTAAACTCTGAACATCATAGATTCAATTTAGTTTGTATGAGTTGTCGGTGCTTACTGTTGAAGAGTTTCAAACTTCGATAAATAGTAATTCTCGGTTTCCTATGGTCATACAGTTAAGATCAATTGAGGAAATAATCTTTACAAACCACCACAACTAGAAAACACAGCTGTAATATTTTCTGTTTATACGGACACTGGGGATGTTGTAATAAAATACTAGGAAACTTATTTTAGAAAATGCACTATTATTATTATTAATGGCTTTATTCAATATTATAATCTGGTACAATATAGAATTCTCAGCACGAGTTATTTCAACAAGTTTGTTACCAAAAAAACAGACAAAAAAACAAAAAAATAAAAAAAACAACAGAAAAGGAATAAAAAGGTTTAAGAAAAAAACCCAAAAAACCGAATTTATACAAATTATCGAATTCGAGAAATGCTTAGGAATACAGGTTATTTACTAAGTCAACTCTAACAGCCTGTTCGTCACAAAGTAAATTTGCTAGGTAAGGTATAACAGAACTTTTATAGACTTGCTTGCGTGTACGGATTATAATGTATTTACGTCTCGTTCTACCAGAAGATATACAAGGAGAAAGATATGAATGAAGCGGATAGTTAGTATCTGATAAGATAACACCTGCCAAGAGTTTGCAAGACTTAAGATGTCTATCCACAAGCATATTAATAATGACTTCAAAAGATTCACCACATACCTTGCAAACCGCCTTCAGCACTCTACGCAAAACAGCAAAGTCTTTTTTCAAAAGCCCAGGAAAGAATAATGGAGAACAATATATAATAATACGTAATATGCAGGAATTTACAAATTGTAAGAGTAAATGGCGAGTAATCCCAAAAGCATGCAGCCTCTTTATGTAGTATATCAAACGGTAAACTTTTTTCGATAACAGTAAAACATGAGAAGACCAAGAAAGATCAGAAGAAAAAGTAACACCAAGATATTTGACCTTCGACACTGTGTTTATTAAGGAGTCTCCAATGGCACAAGCATTACGGGATCCAAAAATAGGGTATAGGTTCTGTCCATGTCTCAAGCTAAAGTTAACAGCTTGACATTTAGATGGATTAAGTAAGAGACCATTACCAACAGACCACCATTCAATACGAAACAAAAACCGGTTCATTTCTATGGGATGTAAGGAGGTAGAAATTGGCATACATACAGTGAGGTCGTCCGCATATTTCACAAAAGTGTTTTCTGTGGAAGACGGTAGATCATGCAGAAAAAAAGAGAAGAGCAGAGGTGAAAGAACAGCTCCTTGTGGCACACCTACAGTAGACAGTAGAGATGTTGAACACTTTCCTTCAAATACAGTGTACTGTTCTCTTCCAGAAAGGTAGGAACATAGCCAATTGGTTATCCAGCTGTCAGTGTCGACGCTGATCAGCTTGTTAAGTAAGAGGTGTCTTGGAATAGAATCAAAAGCAGAGGTAAAGTCCAGGAAAGCGCATCTAACATACTTTCTATCCTTTTCCAACCCGAACACTATATTGTGATGCAGAACAGCAACGGCATCTAACGTGCTTCTTTTGCATTTGTAAGCAAACTGATATAGATCACAGTGCTCTTTTATTGCAAGTTGAAGTGGTTGTATCGGTAATTTTTCCATTATTTTGAGGAAAGGTGAAGTTATTGCAATGGGTCTAAGTTTCGCATTTTTATCACCAGAAGCTTTTTTTGGTATAGGGATTATCTTTATCATTCTTCACATTTTCGGTAAGACATTAGTTGAGAAGGATCTGTTAAAGATATTCGTTAATGGATAATATAAAACATCAGCACATTTTTTAAAAAGAAGTTTTGGGAAACCATCAGGTCCTAAACATTGGGATGAATTAAGTGACTGGAGACATTTTCGGACATCATTTTCGGTGAAACTGGGAACACAATTATTCTTCAAACCCTTGGATATGGAGAGCATGATGTCAGTTGACTGACGAATAAAGGACTTATTTAAGTCACAAACATTCATCTGGTTATCGCTTCTAGTCTGCCTGTCCCCTGTAATTTCTTTAAAGAGTTTCCACATACTTGGAGAGCTTTTACAAGATAGGAGTTTTTGAGTAAACACAGAGTTGAGACGTCTAATCTCTTGCTTTATTTGACCATTTAACCTACGAACTTCAGTAGTATTTTTCTCCTTGTACATCCTTTCTTTTACCCTCCGTAGTCGTTTTAGTTGTGGAGATGTAAGTCGATCAAAACTTAAAAAGAAGGTTTCGGTAGGACAGCAAATATCAAAACAGAACTTAAGATAACAGGTGATAACATCAGTTGTGTTTTCTATTGAGTCATCTGTAAATAATTCCCAGTTGGTCGTACGAAACATGTTTTTTAGATTTTGTAAATTTTCTTCCGAGTAATTCCTGTACATTACTTTTTTGGTATGGTGTATGTGTGTACTCTTTCCATGTTTACCATATACTTTAGGTAGAACACGAATTATGCAGTGATCCGAGCTAGACAATGGAGTACGTTTGCGAGTCACATAGGTACCCACATCATTAATGAAAACCAAGTCTAGATGAGCATTCAAACGAGTAGGAAAATCTACTACATTTAGGTGACCTAGTGATGTAAGGAAGCTACGGTCACATGAATTGAAATCACCACATGCAATCGAAAGTGAATCACTGAAGGCAGTAACGGCGAATTCAGTAAATTTATGAGCGAAGACAGATACCGCAGATGATGTGCAGTCTGGAGTCATGTAGATATTGGTAACATAAATATATTTGTATTTATTCAGGTGTTTTGGACGGCACCTTAAAGTTAGACAGTCAATAAAGTCATTTTAAAACTTGAAACAGGCAAAAGTAGATCGACACCAGTTAACGTTTACAAACGTAGCTACTCCGCCGCCACAAGTCTTTTTATTGTTTGATCGATCCTGACGATAGATATTGAAATCATGCAATGATACTAAGCAATCGTCCTGTAAGTCAGTTAACCAAGATTCTTGAATTGTGATGACACCACAATTACGATACATGTTTTGACTTAGTAGAAATTGGAGATAGTCCACCTTGTTAATTAGAGATCGACAATTAGAATTAAGCAGCTCTGGAATCGACATTTGAATAATGTTCATTCTCTTTAATGCATATTGCCAACCACCACGATGTCTCTTATTGTACTTGTAATTCCTAATCATGAACCAATAATAATAGTGATTATATCGCACTCTATTTTATCTAATGCATGTGTACTTTTGTGTCTCATGCAAACATGCGTTCTTTTTTTCTGGATATTCTATCGTAAACGTATCGTAAGTCGAAATTCCTAGGGTTTTTTTATCAACTGTTATCCATTCTTTACAATTCTTTTTTGTATAATTATTTTATTATAACCTGCATGGATGTTTATAAATAATTGTGTTACTGCCTAAAAGCGAATGACATTATCATTATTGTAAAAATAATTTTCAGTGTACATCATTTGAGATATTTAGTGATCTGTAAATAATTTAGTGTTTTGAGTTCTATAGTTTATATCACAGGCTTTAGCAAACAGATATCGGAAAGTAGTAAGGACTGAACAGCTGCTTTATTCCACTGTAGTATTCAACAATGTTAATCTATAACTTCTCTGGGGACCGAACCCAGGTACCTATGGTCTCACAGTTAGTAGTTAACCTTTAGACGACTGAACTCATATCCAATGGTTTACATTTCTAATGTCAATCAATTCTGGGTAACTTGACCTTTGTAAAACAGGTAGATATACTTTGGTTTAGTAGGAAACAATGTCCTTTGGATATTTCGCTGCGGAAAACATGTCTGATTATTTAGACAGATCACTTTTCATGGTTGCGTTTGATTAATTATTTATGTCGGAGGTGTTTAGTTGTATACTGGTAATTATTATCAATACATCATTCTTTCTGAAAGAGAATAACTCGATTAGATAATATAAATACTTTTATAAATACAATGATTTGATGCGATTAGTCCCTTTGATAAATTTCGATAGTGTAATAAGAAGACGAAGATCATCAGAATTATATGATATATTAGCGCGATACATTTCGAAAATTCTGATCACATATACACTTGTTAAGAACATTTATATCTGAAGAACAAAAGGTCAACTAGACTAGAAATGGAGGGTAAGAGGAAACAAAGTTAATAAAGAGAACATGGAAAACAACTTGAAGCCTCATCATTCTGGATAATAGGCTAATATTACCAGGGCAGGTTTAAAATGAGAACAAACTCTTTTTGAATACACAAAGGGGTTTTTAATTTTTTGTATGACTAAGGCTTCAATAAACCTCAGTATACGCCCTTTTACACTTTTGTAAAACACCACAAAAGCCGTGTTAAGATCAATCTTATGACCTGTTTCAACTATGTGCTAGGCAATAGAGGATGATGGATGTTTATCATCTACTATTATTGAGTCATTTGGTTTTATTTGTTTTTACAACCATTTAAGTAAATGTTCGGACACCCTGATTTGGAGATCACGATTACTCCTCCCTATGTATGCGTGGCCACATACGCATTTTAATCGATTAACACAGTAGGATGTGATGAAATCGTTTTCATGTCTTTTAGGTTTTTGGTGAAGCATGGGTCTTGTTTCTTCCTTGGTAATGACCTTTGCTTCGTAATGCGTCTTGTTAACAACTAATTTAAGCCTTTGTTTCAATAAAAGACTGCTTGAATCACCTCTAAACGGCAAAGTGATGTAGACAGGCTTTTTTTCTGCCAATGCTATAGTAGGTCACATTATACCATGACCTTTCCGTCTATTTATGTAACAATCCAACGTTCATTAATTAACAAAATGCTCTGGTGCTACAGAGAGTTGGAAGGGTCCCCTCACCCTCTCCAAATGCTCTCACATGGTCATGTGTATATTACCACTAATAGAGAAATTCTACTCACTGCCTTCTCTCGACGAGGGTTTTGTCTACGAAATTGAGAGAACGAAAAGCCAATGTCTGGAGCTCCAACCTTGTTGGTCAGTATGGAGGATTCGCTGAGAGGAATTTGAAAACCCTGATTCCAAACTAATAGTTCATATATGTTCCAGAATCCTGAGGAAACAAATGGCATATAAACTTATCGTTGGTCACCGGCTACCATGGGATCACATCTAACGTTGCTCTACTGACTTGTGGATTAGACCTCCATGTCAAAGGCTCGAGGAGTGGCTCCCTAAGGAAACTACCTATTTAGATTTTGACACCTTACAGTGTTCCAGCCCTTACACATCGAATGATTTGTGTGGCGCATATATATTTGGTGCCTCCTTATACCAATGTCTATGTGTTTAAATAAATAAATGCAGGTATATCCGGCTAACAAGTTCCAAATTGGAAGAAACGCGCATCTTGGATTCCACTGCTTTCTACACTCTATCTGTTCTATATTGAAAATATCTCTTTTGTTCAAGATTTCAGATACATATTTTTAACAAATTCCACCTTGATTCAAAATCTTCCTCCAGATTATCTCTAAACACATACTACTACTATCATATAATCTAATAAATGATACAATCGATTTTTCAAGGAAAAATCATTTCTAACCATTTTTCTACTCAGTCAACATACTGTAAAATTCTATATCCGGTGACCGGTTATTAAACTTATCTTAACTTTTGCTGATGTTGAATTTAATTTTTATTCCATCAGTGTCTAATGTTTTAATCCAGTAATCTCCAGTTTCACGGTTGTTATTACTATGAATCTTACTATCGTTAGGAGAACAACAATAATTAACACAAATCATTCCAACTATAATCATAATAGTTTTTTCTCTGTTAATTAGCATATAGTTTGGACTAGTTATATTACTTCATGTTCTCCCTATAGTATATTCTATCTTTCGGTTTTGATTCTCTACCCCTATCCAAGTTTCATATCATTTTAAAGTCGGTCAATGTAAACGAAAACAAAGTTTAACAACGAATGTGATCAAGGCGTACTACTGATGATTGATGGAGTGGAATTAATAGTAGTAGTCCACTGAATATCATTATCGCAGTCGCATAATAACAATAATATTAATTGTAGTTCTATTTTTATCGTCAATCTGCTTCGAGTTCCACTCTTACTCTGACATATGTGTCTGTATACTTATTTCTATGTTTGTCGATTCTCTTCTATGCTTTATTGTTTATTTATGTAAATATGTTTGTACATGTTTGTGTGTGTATTTGTCTTTTTTTATTTCCTAACTTAGTCTCTTCATGTCAATATCAATGGTACCACTACTATTTCGAATAATAATAATAAAAATAAAAATAATAATAATGAATACAAAAAGATTGACGAAACAGTAAGTCTCTATCATAAAAAGATTATCAATCTTTGTTAGGATTATTTTGCCTTGTTTACTTCAACTTGCTAATTGATATTAGTCATAAATATGATGATGATGATGACCGATAATAGTTATCAATTGTCATCCAATTTTGACCTGTTTGATTGCATTGGTTTTTTGTAATATAAACATATAGAGGAGAGAGCAAGATAATATTTTGTTTATTTTCCTCTTAAATGAGAGAAGAATTGCTGATGTTTACTTTTATGGAAGATGACAAACAGAGATCAAATTTAATCTATTTGACAATGCAGTATGGTGAAATTCAGCCATGTCAGGTCTGGGAGAGTTGCTTATTGATTGAAAAAGAAGATGGCTATGCAATATTACGAGTTGGTCTAGAGGCTAAGTGCTTGCACACAAGACTTCAGGTAATTGATTTGCAAATGTGTACTGTTGAGAAATCCCATGCTGAGACGAAACAATTATCCTGAACTTGGTGGTTTACAATGTTTGTGTAACTACAATCAGTTCATGACGTAGATTATAAAATTCAATAGTCTCATTCATAAGATAATATGAAATTATACTATTTTCACAACTATTTTTCCTCACATCTGTTGTCGTTTTCTCTTTCCCAAACAACATACACAATAAATTAGCTCGAAGAAGATTTGGATCCAGTTTGGAGAAGTCGTTCCGTTCTCTGTATGCCAATTAAACATTCCGACGGTAAAGTATTAGCTGTATGCATAATAACAAATAAATCAACTGTTGATTTAAGAATCAATAATAATAATTTCAGTCAACAAGTTACGCGTCATTTCGATTTCAAACCAGTTACAGATAATGTTCAATATTCATCAAATGATAATCTATCATCTAAAGAACCTGTTACAATGTCGACATCAATTAACGATTGGTCTGGAATATTTACTTATTCTGATGAATTTTTATTTGAAGCATTCGCTTTATTTGTTGGTTTGGGTATTTCAAATAGTCAACTGTATGAAAAAGCTATACGAAGTGCAGCAAAACAAAAAGTTATCATGGATGTTTTGTCGTATCATGCTACAGCGCCGACATCTGAAGCTAAACGCTTAGCTACATCATTAATACCAACTATGAGATTTTATCATTTAGATAAATTTTCATTTACTGATGTACGGTAGGTTGTTGATACATTTTGTTAGAACTATTTCTTTATTTTAGGGATTGTGGAGATCGTTTAATTTCATTGAGATCATGAATCGATTGATGATAGACCACCATTGGAAACCTGGAATCACTAGACGCCCGTTTCGTCCTAATATGTGACTCAAGTGTGCGTATCCACGATCCCGCTTGTGATACTCGAACCTAGGACCTTCACTCCGCGCGAATGCCTGACTTCTAGATCACTGAGCCTGCACTCAAATGTATTGATGGCTAACTTAAATTAATTCATGATCTTGCTCAACCCTTGATCCATTACCTGAGGCGGATAATTGTCTCTCACCTCACACAGATTGGATTCCACTGGTCATGACTCCTTTTTATTGAATAAGCCTATTGACATTGTATTGATTGTTCCAGTCATACAAAAGCTCAGGAGAGATAAAAAGTATCTGAAGTAAAATAGAATGGTAGCTAACAATGGAATGTATGACGTTTATTTCGTTCTATTTAGGGCTCATCAATTAGGGTACCTGAATTCTGATGTGAACTGACAAACACTTAGCTTGCTGACTGTTGAATATATGATTTCCTTTCCTACGTTTAGTTCTTATTCTGCATCCACTGAGTGTAGACAGTTTATAAGTGTGCTAGATAAAGTATTTCCTTGCCTATCCTCTGATTGTTTACATTTGGTCATAAATCTTGTTTCTGGTTTAATGTGATCCAGTCCGTTTATAGTATTTTGATCGAGTATCCAGTCTTGTGGTAGAATAATCTCAATCAGCTGCTGTGTTATCGTATTACAGTAGTAGTATACCGTGAAAATAAATAAAAAAAATAATGCAGTACCTTACGTTTTTGACACCCGGTAAGTTATTTACTGACCTACTGAGTCCAGATAGCCATTCTCTTCTGCAACAGGTATGAATTTATATCCACCAAGTATAAAATGCAATGGTTTCGATTTTATGAATCTGAGTTTTATATTCATTGATACTTTTCATTAAGAATGATATTGACTTTCAACATCATCAATATGATGCATGTCTGCTATTTGTTGATAACTCTTCATGTAAAGATCGTTGGTCAAGACTATTTACCTTATTTTACTTTCAGATTTTTATCAATCTTTAGAAAATGTGTTACACTTGATAAGCTCATGTCCTCGATATTATTCAAGTCGTGGATAAATTAACTGTTTTCGACAGTGTTGACGCTGTATTTAAAACAATTTCCATCGAGTTTTTTTATCAATTAGTTGTTAACTGTAATCTTATAATCCACTCATTTTTACAAGAATGTACTTTTTGAAAGGATTAAATACCCAATAAATTGTAGTATCTGCCGATTCATAACTAGTCTTGTAATTGCTTTTAAATTGAGGTGGTAATATTCTTTAGTCATTCACTGATTATGTTTAAGTCCTATCACTTGTTAATTTGTTTCGAAAATGCTCTCAAAAATTATTGTGTATATCTTCATTATCAGGAAAAAAACCAGTTTTGAATCAAAGTTATATTCAGTATATTTCGTTACTTGGAGAACCATTGAAAACCGAGTCATATTATAATTGTTTTGTTCCCATTTGAGATTTATCATAACCGTACACCCGCCAACTTATATGGGATTGACCTGCAGATGTAGGAGACTTGAAGCGAGTACCATGTGTATAAACCGTCCAATCCGATTTTAATTGATTTTTATTGACTGCAGTTTATTATTCAAATTATTTTCATGTTCTGAAATTTCCCCAAAATCAACTTTGTAGTATACTGTCACATTGTTTGAATATCTTCCTGAATACTACCATCTTTAAGAGTAGAATATTTCAGTGGTTTTTACTTATTAGATTAGATATTGTAAATTACATTTATTGGAAAATATTTTTACTGTTTCATTGCTTTTTTAATTTAAAAAAAAAACAATGAAATATATAGATTATCAGATGAAGATACTCTGAAAGCATGTATACGAATGTTTCAAGAAATGAATTTTATGAAATCAATACATTTCGATCAGTTATCATTTGCTCGTTGGCTATTATCTGTACGTAAAAACTATCGTGAAGTTACTTATCACAATTGGCGTCATGCATTCAATGTGACTCAGACAATGTTTTGCATATTACTAGTAAGTAATATATATGATTACTCTTATGCTCTATGTCATAAATTTACTTTACACATGTATTTATGCACATGTGCTCGGTTTCTATATGTGTATGCATATTTTGTATGTGTTCAGGTAGATGTATTAAGTTTGCATGTTTGTTTTTACATGTTAATACGTGCGTCATTTTCTCCAAAAATAGTTTTCTTTGACGTCTTTGTCCCATCTTTCTTCCATTTTCCTTTCGTAGATAAAGTATTATTTTTTATAATTTCACTAAAAAGAAATATATTATTCGGAATATTTTCATAGTGGACTGATTTCAATTTTAGAGTAGTACATGCGTTAACAACTAGTTTGTATTTGTGAAGCGGTAAAGCAGTGGTTATGTGGTTTGGGTTACTTATATCCACATAAGTAGTATGTAACGATGGTCGGGCATTGAATGTATTTCAGTAGAAGATCGATAACGAAAGAACAGGAACGGAGCGCAATCGGTATGAAAATGCATGAACAATGAAATCAAAGAAGATGTACTGATATTTGCAGAAGGAACAGTCAATATTGAGACAATTGATTGTTATTTTGCAAATTAACTGTTTACTCTATGGTTATCAGATTTTAGTGAGATAGTCTGTAATTTTCGTATCAAATATGTTCGATTGTTCTCACTCGTGTTCTTGTTCACTACATTTAGAGCGCCCAACTTTCACTCTCAGAGTTACCGGTTCGAATTCAGCTTCAACAAATTCAGTTTAAGCGACTAGATAGTATCACTAGCACTCATATTTGTTTTGTCGCTCCAAGACAATTACATAGATCTATATCCTCGGTACTATTTTGAAAATGACGGGATCTTCGGAAAACTTCATACTTACAAACGTATACAAGATTTAATCTTGGAACTTCAATCAGACCCCATTCTGATAATAATCATCATGTGCTCGCTAATGAACGGCTTCAAGATATATTTCCTGGAGTTCTAGTGAGAAGCTGTGACCGGTAGAGTTCAACCGTGTCCGTTGTGAGGCAGTTAATTACTGAAGAAAATGGTGGACGATCGCGCAATATCGTGGATTGGTTGAAGTTAAACTTCAATACAGGTGGGTGCCTGCTCAGTGGTCTAGAGGTCAAGTATTCGCAACCGGAGATCTGAGGTTCGAGTCCCATGTGCGTAGATGCGCACAGCCGAGAAGTCCCATATAACTACGAAACGGGAATCTAGTGATTTCAGGTTTTCAATGGTGGCCTAGCTTAAATCGACTCATGAATTCAACTATTAAACTTGTTATTTATCAATTAATTATCGTTCAATGTTGTTCATAAGCAATCATTGCGCTACTGGTTTTGTGCTTCGTAAATGTATTAACCACCGATCATATATATATATATATATATATATATATATATATATATATATAGTGTGAGTTTTCCCAATGTACATTGGGCCATAAGTTACCCTTGTCGTTCCTAAGGTAACTCTTGTATCAAACTGTCTAAACACGGATAGATAAGACGACATTAGGAAATGTGACATTTCCAGATAGATTTAAGAAGTTCAAACCGCCAAATCAATTGCTTTAAAAATTTTAAAGACACCTAATGTTATTCGACCGATGAGTGTTATCTCATATAGGCTATGTAAAGTTTCATACAAATACGTTTTAAAAGTAGGTATTTTAATAGATAGAAATTGTGTTAACTTAGGTTTGAATACAATGACCAAATAGTGGTGTTTAAAAGCTCTTATTCCTTACAATATTACTTTCATTTGAAATTTAACAATTCCCATGGGGAGGCACAATATAGCGCTAACACAATAGCACTACTCGGCTCCAGTATTGATGGTTGAATTCGGGGGGCTAGTCTCATCGACGAGCCACACTGTGTCTGCTTGGAGAAGTTAACGATCGCTTGTGCAATGTCCATAGCTCTACTATTCTATCTAAACCCATGACTTGTAGCATGCTCATCATATTATTTAGTGTGCGGCGCGTAGACCGCAACAGTTCGATGCGAGACGCCTCCGGTGACCGATTCCCAGCAACTGTCACTCTTGGATGATAGCTAGGGTGTTAACTTAATGACTAAAGAGTTCTGTAAAGAAGCTGTTGTCCTACATATTGCTTTGATTCAATTCTAATTGCAGAATTTCTTTAATGAAATGTTTTGAGACATATGGAATTGTCTTAAAAGATCCAATACTCCATCATTTCCAATAAATATGCTAAGTTCCTATGAAGTTCTGTAATCACCAGATACTCATTGATTGTACTAGTTATTGTTAGATAATGGGAGAATTTTCATCGTTTAACCCTAGCACCACATAATATCAAGCGAATCAAACTATGATATTGAGCCACATAAATTAATAGTCATATTGCAAATCGATGATTAACACTCAATAAATACTAGAAACTAGACAATATGACATTGGTAACTATTCCTTGATTAGTTAGTATAAACGTGGATTTATTGTTTAAAGTTACTTTTGGAGTTCGGAAAAGTTTGTACTCCATCTTGGCTTAGTTAATAATAATCTTAACATTCAAAACGGTATTGTAGTTAACTGAAGCACTCAACTGCGCTGCAACTACCCATTTTCTCAAGGTCTAGAATGCTAATATAAATACAAACACCTTACTGTCTTTTACTTTTTGTTGTTGGGAGTTGTCAACAGAAAACGCCAAACCTATGTTTCGTACTACAGTTTGCAATTGTCAATAAGATGTACTTGCAATCTTGATGGAATTAATGCCTTCTAGGAGATTCAAACACGCGTCATTCAGCTTCACAGTTTGAGATGTTATCATTGGGCTATTCGCTCATTGATCGTACCCAGGTCCCAGGTTTCCTTACATCTCAACATAATGCATGCACTGTAGATTCATTTAGATTAATAGTCTCATTACAACTTGATCGATAGAATTCGATTGATACTAAAGGGGTAGGCAAACATATTGTTGATCATCACTTAGTGATCAATCACTTGTGTATTACTGGGAAAAATATTTTTAGAACTACCAAGCTGTGAAAGACGAGTTCTTTCTAATTTGTATCTTCTTTTCACTATTGAATAAATATCGGATTTTCATTTCTTTCAAAAAGGGTGATATGGTTACACCACTTGGTCAGAGCTAACTTTAGTTAAGTTCATTATTCAATATTGTTGTTTTTTAACTCTCTCAATCTGAAAGTTATCATCTTCAGTTTTCGATATACTTATAATTTAGAGGTTTAAACATTTCGGAGAAATTTCTATTATTCACAATTTTATTGATTTCTCGAGAAGTCTTCTGAGCAAACATCTTTTGTTTTCCCCACAGGCAAAACAATTTTTTTAATAGTACTGGTTTGTTATGTTTGGTTATGTTGAGTATCTTGCTCTCTTTAAAAAGATATAGTAAAACATATCTATGAACAACAAAACTGTTTACTTAAATCAATTTTCTTTCGGTGTTATTAATGAATCTTTCAGAAAAAGATTTGTTTTTCGGATTAGTAAGGGTTAATATAATAATAAGAAAAAGTCTGTGTTTAGTGAGTTACAGATAGACGTGTTTCACCATATTATTCAGCCACATCAACTCCTATCTGTTTATATCATGTTAGCACTTTAATCAGTAAAAGCTAGTTAATATGTTAGGTTTGGTAATATTGTTCAGTTTGTGGTTAGTTTACTTTATAGACTGATTTTTAGCTAAACAACCATCTAAAACCAAGAAACATCAAACATCTATTTCATCCTATAATCTGACTTCACGGTAGTGAGCACTAGAAATCTAGCTCTAAGGCATTGGAGTTGTCGTAATCAGGGCGTTAACTTGAGAACACTTCTTTGGCAGCCCGTTACCCACTTTTTCAACTTCAACCCAAGAATGAATTTGCGCTACCATCATACATTGTCATAAGTGAAATCCTTTTTCTTTTGCTGAACTGCACCCGTTTTGGTTTCTCACTAGAGTTCCAAGAATTTTTCTCAAACATATTCTCTGGTGAGCCATTCACTTATTATTAGAATGGTAGTGTGGTGTGGGTTACTTACATCCACATGAGTAGTATATGGTGAGGGTAAGTTATAGAATGTATTTTGGCAGAAGATCGATAAGGAAAGACTAAGAACGAGGCGTAATTGATATGAAAATGCATGAACAATGAAATCAGAGAAGATGGACTGACATTTTCCAGAAGGAACAATCAAGATTGAGACGATTGATTGACAGTTTGCAAATTAACTATTCATTGTTTTTAAGTCAAAAACTATTATCTAAGTTAATTCCTTAATAAAGATGATGTTCTGCATAAACCTCAAAGTTAGCTTTTCATGTAAAAATGTATCTATTACTGTAAATTTCCTGGTTTCAATAGCTCAGTGGATAACACTTTGGTTTTTGAAGCTAAAAGCCCATGACTCTCGAGTTTCAGTGTTGCATATCAACATTAGGATTGAGGCAAATTCAACTGACTTGTCCTAAACAATGTGTTTTGGATTCCACTACTACCTTTTATTCAAGTTGAATGAAAGCTTTTAATTTTTTTTCTTTGAATTCACAGACAATATTGTTTGTAACTGTAAAGATTAGTTTATAAATATCTTTTAACTCAGTACTCAATAATAATTGAAGTTATATTCAACAACATTTAAAGATCTGAAGAGGACAATATGTTTCATGAAAATGTTCAAGGTATCTTGTCAATGACTGCTGATAAAAAGGAAACTAGTGTTAGGAAAATTTTCTCGACTGCCCACCAACATTTAATAACGTTTCTTAAATTAATTAACAGTGTTATAACAATGAATTCGTTTTACACAACCATACTTATTATATTTAACTACTGTAAAGAGCCCTTTATTATATTTCATCATTCCATGCATTCACGTAAAAACAGGTAAAAGTAAACTATTAAATATGTTTGGTTTGTAGTATGTTAAGTTGAGTTTGAAGAATAGGTGCCTGTAGGCTGATTTCTATGATTATTTCAGAGTGTGACTCCGTTGGTAGGGTTCGCGTCATGTATTTTTTCAACTTTGAAACTAGGTTCATTATATTTGTATGTCAAAATTGTGACATGTAGTGTCGGTTGCTAAGTTGAGCCCACATAGCTTACTGTAGCTTCCGGGAAAGCCAATTTATTCATCCATCCTGTGTCACATTTTGATCTTGTTAATTATTGGCTTGTCAACCTTGACTGTTTTTTTGTATGACGTATGTGTGTGCACTTCTTATCTTACTCACCACATGTCTGTAGCTCATTTTAATCTTATTATAAATGCCGGTTCATGCTTGATGAAACTGAGTTGGCTTACACACCTTCCCCACTGTATGTCATTTCGAATCGTTTCTTAGATCATTTGTTTGGACCAACGATTGTATGAAATACACGTGTTTGAAATCCATTCTCGTTTATTACTTATTTAATTCCCTTACTCACTAACGTGGTTTAAGTCGATGATTAAATGCGAGAGTAGCCAGGATGTATATTTCGTCAGCAATCATTCAATAACAATCATACATACGATCTATCTGGAGTCAGATCTCGGACCACTAAAGATATATTTCGATAATGTAATAAGACGAAGATTATCAGAACTATGTTCTGATTATCAGAACATAGTTCTGATAATCTTCGTCTTATTACATTATCGAAATTTATCAAAGGGACTAATTGCTTTAAATTTCTTAAAAGAAGACTCCCTGCACTAAAGATATACTTGATCATTTTCTTCGGATTCAATAGCTGTATTGAATTTGTTATCTCCGGTAAAATATAGATCTCGCTTAAATTCTTATCTATTCTTTCGACTTAACACGTTTTTAACAGCGGTTTTTGTCAAGAATAGTCAAACATGAAAGTGTTAAAGATACATTTATTTGAAACACTTGTATGATCAGACCAACGAAAAGAGATGTACAAAGGGAGGATGGTATTTGAATAAACTGTAGAATCGATCGATCTATATGAATCATTGCATGAGTACCCAGTCACAAAACGGTTAATAAGTTAAGTGATACAAAAGCGTATAAATACTTATCTCATTAGTCATTTTGTGACTGTGTATGATCTCACGCAATTTTCACTAGATGTGCTTATTTTGTCTTGTTGGCTAGCAGATGCAATTTTCTCAATAAATCCTTTAAATGCTAATTAGCATAGATATACACTTAAACATTTTTGATGATATCGCTTAACTAAATTTTAATATTTTGCTCATCGAATTTATGTATATTATTGCCAAGATGAATCTTTATAAAAAAACATTAAATTCACCTGCTGATGATGAATAGATGAATTGTTTAACGAAACTGGCTACAAATAAATACCATTTACATGTCAGTGTGTAAGGAGCAGGAAGTCAGATAATATGATCATTCGTGAAAATTTAGTTTTTCCTTATGTTTCAATCTATGATGAAGATATGAATGACAACATTGTATTCAAGTGGCTAGTCCCAGATTATAAAAGGGCACTATGTAAAACTTCTATTTGATATGTACTATTGGTTTTATTACAACTATATTTATTTGTCACCTAGCTGGTTCTCTGAACGTCTTCAAAATTATATGAACTACTCTTCAACATGACTGATATGTTCTTGGATATGTCCGTCAATACGTTTTATTTTGTATTAGTTGCTGATACTGATGATGTTTTAAAATGATAGGTACTGCTTTCGAATCCTATAGTGGATATCAACTTAGGAATGCAGGTGTACTCATCTGACGAGCCTCAAATTGAACACATTCTACTGTCAGCCATATTCCATCCATTTTATGTAAATCTTCGTTAATGTTTTATAAAGGATCAAAATGGTTTTCGATAGCGTTATCTTTTTCTTGACCAGGATAAATTTTTGAAATTTCTGACTGAAATTTCCCAATTCTTATTTTGTCTTTGGTTCTTTTCATATTTCATTTAGATAAAAGCATAACTCATTAACATTACTGAATGACTTTTTTTCAATTGGTTAGCACATCATATAACACCTTCCTTTTCAATAATTACGTTCAGAATAAATAGATCATTTTCAACTTACCTATATATTATGTGCATTTACAAGAGTTTTCTCTTTTGGGTTGCACTTCTGACCTAAGTTAATATTTATTTTGTGAGTAAAAGCTTTAGCCTGTTTTGTGTTATAGTTTAAGATAAATTCTAAGCGAAATAAATCAAAATTAAGATTCGATTGAACTAATTGAGCTATTGATTCCTACATGAAGTAGGCACTGAAAAATTCTGTCCAGAATCAAAATGAAATCTCCTTAGTTATATCACCTAACCGAGAGAATACAACACCTACCATAACCATAGATTGTAGTAAATCTTAAGTGATATATAAATTCAGCTTGTATGAATTGAGTGATATTTCCCTATAAATACCGATTAACTTTTGAATTATTTTACATTTCACTGAACGGTATTCTGACGTCTTACTGTTAAAAAAAGGAAAGAAGAAGAAACAAAATGTATCTGTCTGAAACTTTCTGCTATCACAAATATATTATTGATTTCAATTGGCCTGAAGCATTGTTCAATGGTACTTCAAAATGAAATTAGTCTCACACTGTCTATATTTAAAGAAAATTTTCATAAACATGAGAGAACGAAAAAGAATAATAAAGGAATTTATTAGCAAACGTCTAAATTATTAATCAACCACTCAATGCTAACTTGAACTTCTCCTTCGTTACTTTCATATATATATATACCAATTATTGTTCAGTGAAAGGTTTTGAATAAAAAAAAGAAAGAAAATCTGACCAATGTCTAGAACTATATATTGTTAAGTTTGTTTTTCTTTCATCATATTATATATACACACATAGTTTGCGTGATTGACTGACTGTTCTACAGTCAAAACATAATTTATTTCTGTTTGAATTATTTTTTTTCTCAAAACGGAAAGAAATGAGAAAGGCTCATTTCAAGCATAAAATATAACGTATACATACGTGTATAATTTATTTTATTTAAAGAATTATGCGACTATTACTAATTATTATTAGCCATGGATTCATCTCATTTGTTTCTCGTCTGTCGTCTACTTCCTTCTTTTTCTGCATCGAACTGTCTCAATTCTTTTTTTCCTTTCAGAAAGGTGATTTTCAGTCAGTATTTACAGATCTTGAATGTTTAGCTTTGTTAACTGCTTGTCTATCTCATGATATCGATCATCGTGGTACAGATAACCAATTTCAAATTAAAACAATGTCTCCATTAGCTAAATTATATTCTACATCAGTACTTGAACATCACCATTTCAATCAGTTCATGATGATACTATCTATAAAGGTTAGTCGATTAATTTTTTCCTGTTCATGTTAATTTTTATGATGTTAATTTATTATGTATCTGTAAATGCTTTCCAATTATAAATTGATATTAGCTGATGTATTATTGAAGGTCAATGAGTACTGCATAATCACAATGATAATATTTGTCAATAATATCTACCGACGACTGCACACGAGCAGGAACTTCGCAAGTGTAAAGCTTGAAGCGAGGAATATACCTTTATGGCCTACGAGTCAATTAGTCAATGTTTCGAATCTGTCATCGATTCGTGGTAGCAGTCAGTGATCATGCAATACCGTTGATTAATAATGTCTCGCTTATGAAATGGTTGACTTTAAAAGTTATAACTGGTCTATACTGTAAAACTTCGTGGATTTCATCTGACCGATCCCCATCTGTCGATTATGAAAATTATCTCTGTGCTAGAAAAAGTTTTATTTAAGTGCTTTCAACAAAAGATTTCTTTCTAACTTAAGTCATTTTCTTGTCTGCTGGCAAGACAATAATACACAATAGTGTATTTGAATTATGAAGTAAACATCAAAGTGACTATTGTTCTATTCATAATGAAAAGAATTTTATAAATTTGCAGTAATTATAATCCTGCTACATGATTTTTTGCTAGGGTAATAACTTTTTATGCAATCTAAACAGATCAGAATATGATACTGTTGTGAAATTAATTAGAGAAGCAATATTGGCTACGGATCTATCAAGATATTTTGCTAGACTACCGAAATTTCAACAAACTTTGCATCATTTGAAAGAAATTAATGATCAATCTACAAATTTATGGCGAAATGATCGCGAACAACGTTTATTACTTGGCTGTATGTTTATGACAGCTTGTGATGTTTCAGCCATAACAAAACCATGGCCAGTTCAAAAATTGGTAAGTGTATATTGTATGTATTTACTTTTGATGCTTGTCATATTGAAGTAATCAATTAATTTTGAAAATGTTGATTGTTATAATAACTAGACAGCTCTTACTGTCTTTGCCATTTTAATATCTGGTTTCTGCTCCGTGTGATGGCGATGAATATAATCTAGTTTTACTTAATCTTAATTTGTATATTCCTTCTATACGTGCTAATGTTTACTTAGAAATTTCTAAACATATTACCAATTTAAAAACCATGTACCTGTTTTCTTATTTCATACTTTTCATAAAATTAGGTTAAGAATGTCAAGTATAACTATTCAGCCACGCTTTTAGCTAAGCATTCGTTTGCTCATCATTAATTCATTTCGGTATGTACTGTCTTATTTTCCACTGCGAAGCTCTAATGAATAAAATCAACTATGTTGACAGTAGAAGAGGATCACATTATGTGATAAATTGAAGTTAAATATATTTACTAATTGATTCTGACTCATCAGGAGATGTTTATGAGTTCAACTGTAGGTAGGATCGGTAAATTTTACCGAGAAATTATATATATATATATATATATATATATATATATATACATGTTGGTCGACATCATATTTCATGTTTAGTTTCATGCTAGATAGTGGAGGGGAATTTACACGTAGTCCTACATCTAAAGTTCATATTAATTTGAATCTCCTAAGAAATATCGATTCACTGAAGCTTCCAGATATACTCTTTTAACTATGATCCAACTATTAATAAAATTTACATGTAAACTTTCCCATTCTACCTTTAATCGTCTTATACGTTGTTTTTATTCCTCGTAATATCATTCCTATGAAATGTATTGTATTGTTTTCGTTTTCATTAATAAACAGACAGCTGAAATGGTTGCCAATGAATTTTTTGAACAAGGTGATTTGGAAAAAGAACGACTGAATGTAACACCAGCTGTAAGCTGTTTTTTTCGTTCGTTTCTTTTTTGTACTTTATGCGAAAAACCCTTTTCTCTTCACTCTCTTTACACTTTTGTCAATATTGTTCTGGATAAAAGAAAATTAAGTTAATTGTCTACTGGTCATAATTTTGTGATATCAGGCCAGTGGTCGCACAATATCGTGGATTGATTGAATTTAAACATTCATACCTTTGGGTGCCGTTTCAGTGGTCTGGGGTTTAAGACTGAAAATCCTTTTTCTTTGTTTTCCGTGTGCACGGTCATGAATGCTTACTTCTGAGTAGTCCCATACTAAGACTAAACAGCCTTGTAGTGCTTCCAGGCCTTCCATGGTAGTCTGGCTACAAGTGAACCATGAATTCAACTATAAAAACATTGTTTGTCATTTTTAGACAATCCGCTATGGGTATCATATGTCATTTATGGTTGTGAAAAAAAGTGGATCGGTAGCCAATTAATTAAACTGTTCACATTTCGGTCACTAATATCTATTTTCATAATTTTCCCCACCTATGTCAGTTTAGGCAATAACATAGTATCACTAATCTTTGCAGTTACAATTTAGCTTGAAGCCAAGTACACGAATATATACCTTGTAGATGAATTATTTTTATGATGGACAATCAACGTTAACATCTTTTCATCGGCCATAATTATTTGGCTTCTTTTTCTCCATAATCATTACTATGTATGTTATCATGTAAATGAAGACTTGGGGGGGGATAACCAATTTATTGTTTAGGGCAAAATTGTACATTGGTGTAGTAAAATATGAAAATATTGAACACATCATTCGCAAATCTTTCTTCAGTTGTCCTCTTCATACTCCATTATTCCTCTAATTCTGTTGTTTCGATTTCTGTCAAATTTCCTTCCTGTTGTCTTTATTGGAATCTGCTACCAGGCATTCCACTTCCGATTGGTGCTACATACTACTTATATTTATCAACATTAGTAGCATACATCGCATAAGTAATATGGATACTAATAAACAGTAATCACATGTAGTTTCATTTTAATTTTATGCACAAAAAACAAACAAAGTTCCTTATTTTATAGAGTTGAGATCATGAGTCAATTGAAGCTAGACTACCATGGAAAACCTGGAAGCACTGGACGGCCGTTTCGTCCTATTATGGGACTCCTCAGCAGTGCGCGTCCACGAACCCACTCTCGCGGGATTCGAACCCAGGACCTACCAGTTTCGAGCCGAAGCCCTTAACCGATAGACCACTGAGCTGTCATCCAACGGTGTTAATTTCTAACTTCAACTGATTCACGAAATTGAGCAACCATTCACCAATGTCATCAGTGAGTTCCTATCTCACAACAGACCTGGTTGAACTCCACCGGTTACTGCTTCTCACTAGAACTCCAGGAAATACCTCAAGGAGTCAGTCACTAGTGAGCACCTGATTATTATCAGAAGGGGTTTTGTGGAGAGCTGTCATCCAGCTCAGTGGTCTATCGGTTAAGGGCTTCGGCTCGAAACTGGTAGGTCCTGGGTTCGAATCCCGCGAGAGTGGGTTCGTGGACGCGCACTGCTGAGGAGTCCCATAATAGGACGAAACGGCCGTCCAGTGCTTCCAGGTTTTCCATGGTAGTCTAGCTTCAATTGACTCATGATCTCAACTCTATAAAATACTAAAATCTCCACAAAACCCCTTCTGATAAAGTTCCTTATTCACAAGAAAAATAAACATTGTCGATAGACACATATCAGATATTGAAATATTGAATGGTCACATGTGTTTTAGTTAAATACATGAGGGGAAAAAAGTAAAGTAATGTGTGGGCGAGGATGACAGTGATTGGTTGTCTTGATGAGTCAGACATTAGATAGGATGACAGGTGTTATGTGTTATATATATTCCCCTATCCTTATTATGTATTGACTGTACCTTGTTGATGGACACTTATTGATTGACTGTTCTTGGTGTCGGATTTTGGTGTGGAAATATATTGACGTTATAGTCAGGTTAATCTCGTGTTCTTGATCTGAGTTGTGTTGATGTCCTATAGAATAGACACTGGGTGGGAATCTAGTGTAGATATTCGTCTAAGGTAAATTAACGTCCCACATACGTGTAAAAAGTGAAAGGACTGTTATAACCAGAAACCGCAAGCGTTATAATCAGTATCCTTCTCTTCTCTGTTTATAACAAAAAGTGAATATTTATTTACTATAAAGATTCACTGATCGGTAAATGTGATAAAACTTGCAATTTGTTGGATTCAAAGATTTATTGTACTATATTTAGTGAATGAATTTTAGTTGAAATTATGTTGTTTAGTAGAAAATACGAGTTTTTATTTTTGTCCATTGAAACAATTCTAGTGAATTGTCCTACTGTTAGAACTAACTTTGTTTTGTTTGGTTAATTTTAGTTCCAAAAAATGTATTTTCATTTTGTTTTGATTGACATATTGTTATTAGTCTAGTAGTGTTTCATTCTAATACGTCAGTTAAAAAAAATCAACTTTCTTACTAGAATGATGTAAAATAGATTACTATTATTATTGTTATCAGAAAGGGTTTTGTGGAGATTTCAGTATTTTCGTAGTTGAAATCATGAGTCTATCGGTTAAGTTCTCAGGCGCGAGACTGTTATGTCCTGGTTTGGAATCTCGCAAATGCGGGATCGTGGTTGCGCACTGCTGAGGAGTCCCATAATAGGACGAAACAACCTTAAAGCAGTGCTTCCAGGTTTTCCATGGTGGTCTAGCTTCAATCGACTCATGATTTCAACTATTGAAATTATCATTATTATTCACTTAGTATTGTTTGTTTGGATCTTCCCATCGATGTGTGGCTATCAGGACTCAGTGGCCGAGTAAATAACGCGATGGCGTTTGAAGCGAGGGTACTGGGTTCGAGTCCCAGAGTGAACATCAACTCTGAGATGTAGGTACATCCAGCTGACGAGTCCCAAATAGTACGAAACGCGCGTCCTGGATTCCACTGCTAGCCACTATCCATCTCTGCTTATCATTATTATTGTTATAGAATTTAGAAATTGTCATTTGCAAGGACATAAAGGTTTCAAATTTATCAAATAGTAGTTGTGTATGTTGTTCACTAGATCCAAGTATATCGTTGAATAATAAATTGACAAAATAATAATCAGTCGTTACATTTTGTATAAACAGTAGTGATTGCATGACGTCCACTGAAATTATATACACTAAAATTAATTGTATTTTACTCTGTAATGAATTTATTAACGTTAGTTGAAAGTAGGTTAGATTATTAGCGATTTCTTGTCACGAACTAACATCAGTTGAGTTACTATCGATAATCTAAAATCAGTAGACAATGACTTACTTATCTACGCCTGTTACCCCCAATAGAGCATAGGCCGCCGATCAGCATTCTCCAACTCACTCTCTCTTGGGCCTTCCTTTTCGAGTTGTTGATGTGCCAACATCGATTGGGAGGTCCGTAGTTGCTACTTCGATGTTGGGTGGGTCCAGTGGAGCTGGTCGATTCAAGAGTTCGTTGAAGTATTCTACCCACCTGTTCCGTTATTCTTCAATGTTTGTGATTATCTTGCCTTCCTTGCTTTTCACTGGTCGTTCTGGTTTATGGTAATTTCCAGCGAGTTTGTCTGTTGTATCATACAATTTTTCCATGTTTCCTTCTCTTGCAGCCTTTTCCATCATCATTGCTAAACGTTTGTCGGTTCTGATGCTCCTCTTCACTTGCTTTTTTACTTCTGCGTATTCGGCTTGTGCCTTGGCTTTCTCTGCATTTGTTCGGCTGGTATTGATTGTTGCCTTCTTATTCCCTCTTTCTTAAAACTTATCCAGTGTATCGACAGTGATCTATTCCTTGTGATGATGCTTCTTGTAGCCCAGAACCTCCTTGCATGTTGAAGTGATTTCCTCTTTTATCCCTTTCCAGTTGCTCTCCATAGTAGCTTCCTCTTCAATGAGTAGATCATGAAAGGCCTGGAACCTATTGTTGAGGGCTATCTTGAATTTGTTGAGTTTTTCAGTATCCCGAAGAAAGGCCTTATTAAACTTTTGTGATGTTGTCCGCCCCATTGTCCAATGCTTCTTAGGTTTTAATTTCATCTTGGTGAACAGCAAGTGATGATCTGATGTTATATCATCTCCTATCCTGGCTCTCACATCGTCCATCTTCCTCCTGAACTTTTTGTTGATGCACATATGGTCGATTTGATTCTGTGTAGTGTGATCCGTTGAAGTCCATGTGGCTTTGTGTATGCGTTTGTGTGGGAATATTGTGCGGCTTATGACTAGTTTATTGAAGGTACATAGGTTTGCGAATCTCTCACAATTTTCGTTCCTTTCTCACAGTCAGTCCATGTTGTCCCATGACGTCTTCGTATCCAGTGTTATCCATTCCAACCTTGTCATTGAAATCTCCCATCAGAATGGTCAGGTCCTTTGTTGAGCACTTCTCGACGATCGACTGCAGCATGTCGTAGGATTAGCCTTTAACGTCTTCATCGTAGTCATTGGTAGGCGCATACCATTCAATGACGTTCATTGTAATGCCCTCCTTGTTTGTTTTGAAGGAGGCTTTGATGATCCTTGGTCCATGAGATTCCGATCCTATAAGTTCATTTTGTGCTCGTTTGGAAAGCATCAATGCAACTCCTTGTATATGTTGGGTATTCTCAACTTCATTGCCGGAGTATAACAGAAGCTACCCTGAAGATAGTCGTTGTTGTCCAACCTGCGTGCAATGTGTTTCACTGATTCCAAGTACCTCCAGGTTTTATCTCCTCATTTCTGCAGCAATTTGGAAGACTCACCCGGTCTCCCACATTGTGCCAGCGTTCTATGTACCTAGGTAAATGGTTTTTCTGGTTGTCAGAAGGGGCATGGGCCTTGTGGCTTCCGAAGGAACTCGGCTTTCACCATGAGGCGTCATAGCTCTTCTAAACGAAGACCTAACTCCCAGGGTAGAGTTTAAATGGTTTGAATTATTTTTTTCTCGTTAGCGTTTTTTAGCGAGTTAGTTTCTGATGGGATTGACTAGCTAACCCCATGTCCAACCCTCCACCTTTATCCGGGTTTGCGACCGGCAGTAACCCCAGAGGGTTCCAGGAGGAGTTCATTAGACAACGAACTGAGTTGAAATCTTATTTTAATGTTCACTCACTTTCGTACTTTGTTTTCAACATTTTATTCGTTTTTTTTTTGTATTCATATTCTTTGCAAATATTCTTATTTCTCATTGAATTACACAACCATGTTTATTATTCATTTCAGTTACGTTCTTTTGGTTACTTATCATTTGTCAATACGTTAAGAACTCTTAAAAGTAATAATTATGCACGTTTACATGTATTTCTCGTCTCATATTGACTTATTATTATTATTATCACGATTATTATTATTATAGTTACCGTGGTTATGGTTACTTCACCATTGTTATTTGTATGTAATGTTTAATCAATTTCATCAACTTATTTATGCCTTGTTACTAGTTAATAATGTATGTTCTAATCAATGGATCACGTCATTAACTCTATATGCCTTATTTTGTTCCTGTACAAATAATTTTATTTTTTTTATAATTACGGATATTATTATTCCCTTGAATTACATTGTTTGTAAACTGTGTTGTTGTTTATTGGTAATTAATAATAGTTTTAAGCATTTTTGTCCAAAGATTTGGCTACACTTCAATGTTGCGTAATATTTACTATAAATTTGATTTGTTTCGTTAATTACCATTTAGATCCAGCTTGTGTAATATTTCAATCTATAAATTCAACCATATACTTTATAAAGAATTCACTATCAGGAATCAGTTAACTTTGTTAAATGTCTAAATGGATTAAATGGTGTTTTTTTCTTAAGAAGGTTGTTTTTCTACATTCGCTGAATGATAGATTGATCTTTACTGAAGATTGATTTAAAGTTAGGAGATAAACCACAAAGATACAAGGAGAATAGTAATTGATTCGTCTTAGTCTGATACATTTCAGCAATACACTCTAACGATTTAACATAAGATCTAGCTTAGAATGTTGGAAACTCAATGGAATCCACTATAAGTCCTAGTGTGAACATTAACTTTGAAGTACAGATACATCTAGCTGATGAGTTGTAAGTAGGAAGAAACGTGTCTCCTAAATTCTGTCGGTAACTTCGATTCCCTTATTCTAAAAAATCTTACATAATGTTTATTTTTTTCGAAATAGTACGATTATGAAACTATTCGCTTAAATTTAAACGAAAGTTCTTACAAAGTATGATTATTACGTTCTTTGTGTGATATTATTGCTGTTTTCTCTCACTTTTCACTTTCATATCAAGGCACTAATGGATCGTGAACGCAGTAATGAACTTCCAAAATTACAAGTCAGCTTCATTGACTCAATTTGTGTGCCGATTTACGAGGTAAATGTTTGACTTTTTTGTTTATTAAGAAGTATTCTTTACACAGTTACATTCCATCATTAATTTTGTTTTTCCGTTAATACTTGTATGATACGATTATAATATGACCTAATCCTTGTATAAATATGATCCGAAGTTGATGTTCGTTCAAAAAATTTTTAAAAACTGATCCAGTCTATTATTATTATCATTAACTCTATTCAATATTATATTTTTGGTACAAAATAGATTCTCAGCACAATGTATTTCAACAAGGTTAAGTTTTCTACTTCTTGATCGATCCTGACGACAAATATTGAGTGATCGTCACTTAGAAGTTATCAGTTCAGGAATCGACATGTAAATAACGTACATTCTTTTGGCTGCAAATTGCCAGCAATTACGATATCTCTGATTGGGCCCTTTTATAACTTGTTCAACGAAAGGTTGTACACCTTTCATAGACGCACCTGAATTGGTTATGCGATTAATAGCCATAATGATGTTGAAGTATCTAGATAGCAGGAACAGGTAACCCAGATGTTCTAGCAGGCCGTTTTTTTTAGTTGATTATATTTATCACGAATTACAACCAGCCGAGTTAATCGCTTGAATGTAACTAAGATTGTTATTAGTCTAAAATGTATTGTCGAAATAAGTCAATGACCAAGTTATTGTTGCTTTGAAAGCCACAATGTTGTCTAATCCGTCAGTTTTAAACAACATGGAACCTTGGACAAATATTCATCAATATAAGTTGTCACACTATATCAGCACCGAAAGATAAAATTGTAAAAACAAATCCCAGAATAGTAAGATTAATAGTAGTATCAGTGATAGACATAGAAAGTATGTTATGAGAAAAAAAAGTCATCTTTAAAATTCAAGATTCAAGGGTAAATAACATCCATATCATTGTGATCGGTTCCAAAGTATGTTATTGAAAATATTCGATCATTTATCATGACAATTTCATTGACTCCAACCAGACAGTCTATAACCTGTCTATGCGTCTTATTCCAATAGTTTAGAACTTCATAAGCTGATGACAAATTTTTTAGCTTGGTCATCACTAGGTTTCAACCAATCTACTGAGTACTGTATGTGTTGGTTTTTTTCAGTGTAAACTGAAAAATATCTAAATAATATTGAATAAAATAATATCAGATACCATTGTGTTCCCATTTTGATTGCTAATCTTTGCCAGTTTCATAATGAATAAAGGGATTGATTATATGGTGTTACAAACCTATTTATTAAGCTATATTATAATTAAAGTATTTAATTCCATACAATGTACAACATTAATGTTTTTTTCAAATTACAATTATGTTCAAAATTATACAAAAAAAAACAGGCTATTGTACAAGTTTCTTCAAATTTTGAACCATTACTAAAAGGCTGTAAACGTAATCGTACATGTTGGCTTATTCTATCTGAAAACGGTGAAGTCGATCATTCATTATATGGATTAAACGATGAATCAGAGACTACACCAGGAACATCAACTGAAACTACAGCAAAATCAGTCACAACGACAACAACGGAAGGATCAACACAACTAGAAAATGTAATCACATCCACATCTAATATTATTACATCGTTAGGTACATTGAATCCAGATTCAGCTGAACGTATTGCAAAAAGTAAACCATTTACGTCATCAAATATTCGTAGAGCTTCTGTATCATCAATGACTACAGTTGGGGGCCAGGAACCACCGATATAGTGTCAATCATCTGTTGAATCAAAATAATGCATTGAGACATACACCTGCATACACATTCATACATACTTACACACACGATATTTTCAATTTGGTTCGCATTTTGTTTCACCGATCCACGTAAATCGACCTATTCCAGTATACTGTCTTTCAGGTGTGTGTGTATGTGTATAAATATGCTTGTGTACGTGTGTTGATGTTTGTCTGCTTGTATTTTCACATCTGTCTTTTGTGTTATAAACAGGTAGAATAAGATAAGAAGAAGGTTATCAGTGGATAGTTGAATGTACTGTTATCACTGAATGGATTGAATGTGTATTTTTTTTACTAATAAAACATAATTGTGGAGAGAGTAGGGGTGAGGGTGTGTGTGAGAGAGAGGGAGATCTCGCAGTGTATAGCTTGAGTGTACAGTAGATGTAATTAATGATTACTTTTCAGTTGTTGTTTTTTTATTTTCTCAATTTTTTCTTTATTTTTATGGATATTCTATGACGTAATTCAGATACTTTATTGATTTCTCATCTATCATTATGCTTTTTGTTGCTAGGCCTTGTGTTTCTAGTTTATAACCTAATCTATCTGTTTTTGCCATGACAACAAATCTCTGGAAGTATACATATATGCGTGTGTGTACGTACCGTTTGTTGAAACAGCATTCTTTCCCTGTTTAATTATTTATTCATTCATTTTACTTCTTTCGTTTTTGTATTGTTGAACAAAATGTTATTCTTAGTTTAAATGAAGTATAAAGAATAGCACTAACTCCACAACCTTGACACTCAGATTAAATTGCGTAACTATGTATTATGCTAGACAGTCAGCACTGCATTCAACACATCATAATAATGTATTATGAATATCAGTATTATTTTAGTATATGTACAAGGTATTCAGTCTAGTTTTTTTCTGTCTACTGAATTGAATTATGCAAAATCAATGTATTCGTTTGTTTGTACCATGAAGGAACAATTCCTCTTGGTTGTTGTTGTTAGTGCCGTCATCTTAGTTAACTTTAACCTCCGCCCCACTCTTCTCCGATTTGTATTCTTTTCATTCCTCACTATCATTACTTAAACTGTTTATTTCCTCATTTACTTTTCATTAGTGTAAGTACTATTTTCCTCTTACATTATTTGTTATTAAAGGCTGTGATTATTTTCCCATTTACCTGGGGTATATATATATATACCATAGGTAGCAATGAACATATATACAAATGTAAACATTTAACGTGTGTATCTTTTTAATCAGACAGGATTGAGAAATATGACTTCATTGATACTATTCATCAGCTAAAATAACTTCTCATGTTAATATATATTTCTTACATATATAGTGACAGAGATTTAAATCGTACCTTGGTGTTAGAGTTTATTTTTGATTTGTTTTGATAGTTTTATACTTTATAAAAACTTGTACAACTTGTGATCAAAAGTAGTAATAAAAAGTTGTTGTGAAAAAATAGAGGAGAGAAATAGACTAATCAAAAAAAATAAGTATACATGAACAGGAACTACCATTCAGTTGGAAATGCAACAGTGAAAGACTTGGTTTACTCAACGGTGTCCTCATCATTTTAATGGAGAATTTAAATTTGGCTACAGCAGGATTCAAACTGTCCTTTATTCTAATGTATTTCTGATAATGTTTGAAACCACTGGGTCACACCACCAGGACCACAATTAGGGATTTATGATGAGTCGACAGACATCTGTTACATGTAGATTTTTTCCATATCACATCACCACGTCATAAAATGAATACCTCTTCTCTTTTTGCAAGCTGTCCTAGTATGATCATTAAATACTTAGTACAAAAGACGCTGATATGACATTTGTAAGACATCTCCAAACCAATGCTTCAAGGTGGCGACAAAAATGCAGTTATAGCCATTACTCCCGAATATACATAGTCAAACTTCTACATTACTGACAACGTGTTGCTACTCGATGTTAGCACATTTTTGTCGGCAACGATGATCAAAGTCGCTGAACCTCCTTAGCCTAAGGAGTTCAACTTTAATATGCATAAAGCGGAACTACTATAAACGACTCTTTGTGATCTAATCCGAAAAGAATTATTGACAATTATATGTAGCTAATAACATATTTTACTATTTAAATGCGAACAATTACTTAAAGTGACCGATGTGTTATTTTCAATGTTTATCGTTGATAAATGAAAATAACCCACTGATAGATATAATGATAAATTATCGGGCAACTGATTTATTCAGATACTTTCTTTTGATGAAATCAGTTTTGTTAAACTGACAAGCAATAGATATTAACGAAAATTTTCTTGAATCTTTTTTGTCCTTCACCTTAAAAACTGCCTATCTAGTGTTTTTTTTCATATCTTATAGTTTCCTTACTCTTCACGGTGATGTGACCTAACTCTAGCGGTCATAAATTTTAGAAATGTGATATACATTTAAATATTTTACACTGAAGGTGACCTTAGTAGTTATTACGAAATTAAATAGGTGTATAACAATATACTAACACATTTCATATCCAAATTCTAAAAGAAAATATAATAATAACTATGATTATTATTATACGTTGAGGATACACAAGCAACATTCACAAGTTAAATGTCTTTGTGAACTATTTAACTGTGGAACTTAGCACGCACAGTGCCGCATGTAGGACTTGAACTTAGGACCTTCAGTAAATGCTTAGCCTCTAGACCTTCGAGTCGGCATCCGATGGAGTTAATGTCTAACTCTTGTAATTGAGGACGCGCCTTACGCCCTATTTGGGACTCTAGCTACCTATAAGTTAATAAAAAGATCGAAAAAACCAATGAAAATGAGTTGAACTTCACTTCTTTACACAAGCCATTGGCTCTCTGGGCTCAGTAGCTAAGTGAATAGAACGATAGAGTTTGGAGCGAACGGTACTGGCTTCGAGTTCTAGAGTAAACATCAACCCTGGGATTCAGATACATACAACGACTAGTTCCAAAACGGTTGAAACGCTCATCTTGGAATCCCATGCTAGTCACTATCCATCTCCGTTTAATGTATACGTTTTCTTAGAATAACATCTCCTTTGTTTCAACTATTATTTTTCTCCATCCTATGTCGATCTTTTGTGAAACAGTAGACCACAGTAAATGGTCGAACACCAGACTTAAAGAATTTTAGGCATCAATTCTGCTTATATTAGGTAAATCTATTGTTGTAATGCACATGATAGACAAAAATAAAGGCTGAAACATCCCTGATACAAAGGAGTAGGACTATTCATTCCAATGTATAGTAACAACTATTATATCATCATTGATTCATCTAATTCATTTGATTTACTGTTTAACCGAATTCCACCTGATCTCATTTCTATGCTTACTAGTTTCGTCATCGTCTCTGAGTTTTATTATTATCATGTGTGAAATGCAATCAATTTTTTGTTTTAAAAATGCACTGGAATGCTGGAAGATACAGTACATGAAGAAAAACAACAAAATTGTAAACGCAATACATACAGTGATTATGATCCTATCCACTTGGAAATGTGGACATTCTTTAAGCTGAATATCCGTAACTTGTAATAAATATACCTCTTCCATATTGTCAGACAGATGAAGTTATTATGAACTCACTAAACTATGTCAGTGGAAATTTTCGTTCTATTGACTAGTAAGATTCTGGCGATATCACAAACTGAGGTATTTCGACCAACTATAATAAATGTGAAGGACATTGACATTCCTAGAGGAAATCTGTAATTACTAAAAACCTCGTTAAAGTAAAGTAATCATACTTTTGTCTAATTCAAATTTTAAATAAATCATTGCCAATGGTTTCTTGGCACTTTGTCATGTATAACAACATTTTCTCATAATGAAAGTGTTTACTTAAGTAGTATGTTTTAATTTGCATAATTTTCGGGTGACTTATTCAGTACGATGTTGTAGGAGGAACAAATTCCAAATTTCCATAACATTCATGAAGGATTATTTTATTTTATACATGAATGTCCAGAGCTCTTGATTTCACTGTAATGATATACAGCTTGTAAAGAACAGTTATCTTTTTCTCTTCAGAAATTTACTTGAAATACTTTTAATGAGAGAGCAATACTCTTATTACAGCAGTTTATGAGAATACCCCTGTGAGAAATCAGCTGTCGGAGTTTACAAATTTTCCATAGTTATTGATAAATAAATAACCTTATGGGAATTTGTGCGAAAATTATCGTCCTTGGAGTTTTTTTTATTTCTCATATCAGTATTGAGATTTTATCGTAAACTCTATCAGGAAATTAGCTGAGTGAGGTTTTGAACGTTAAAACAGTACGAACAATTGTTAAGAGCTCCCCCGTAGTGTATAACTCTGACACTTAGTAATCGTACAAACGAGAGCCGAAATAAATGTAAGTTACACAAATACGAAAATTAGATTGTGGAGAGTTAAATCACAGAGGGTAAGCATGATCGCAAACAAGTAAATTGATAGAAAAAATGAATGAATTGACGTAATATGTTTTGGGAGAAATATTTCAACTAGGAAAAATAAAACATTTCTCATCCTCTCACTATTAGGAGAAAAATACAACAGGACTGCCATCAGCTTCTATTGTTAACCATGTCTTATAAAGTTTCAAATCAATGAGTTGCTCCATCTCTAAAACCACAACCAGGAAGTCGTGGTGTGTCATTAGATGCCAGTTCTATGCAGCCCTCTTCCGAGTTATAAACTAACCATGTCTTCTCTTTTTCTAGTTAGTTCAAATGTCAGGAAATGAAGCGAGTTGTGGAAGTCACTCGGATGACATTCGTAGTAGATTTCCAAGCATCAGAACTGATGTGCCAAGGTGGCGACACCAAATGAATTATATCCGCTCTCCTGAAACACAGATTGCAGGGCCTCGGCATCACTAATATATTGTTGCCACTGAATCTCAGCAATTCTTTGGATATAACGAACACAGAGTCATCAAACATTCTCAACTCGTAGAGACCAGGTTTCCCAACCAAAGCAAGACGCCTCAGACTGACACGTTATAAACCCAATCTTTTACGGCTAGATTAACATAATGATAACACCGAAGATGACTAAGGTTGTCATAAGCTATTCTGACATCTATCATGCATAGATTGATCTGACTACTCACGCTACTTCAAGCACTGACAGAGCTGTCTAGATGCGCAAACTTCTTGACTACTCCTTACGGCTCCGCAGCAAGAATGAGTGCAACCATAGGCCTCACCTAAATTTGGAGAAATACTTTGTTTTTAAGTGTAAAGTACATGCCACACGAACGGATACAGAGTACCAACTGATTAAGTATAGACTGCATAGACTGTGTCATCGCAAAGCAAGACAGTATCATTTGAATATTCATGATCGAGAAATCTTCCATACCACCGGTATCTACTCCCGTAAAAGCTGTTTTCAGGTTATCATCGATGGGAAAGTCGAATAAGAATAAAGAGATTGAAGAACCATGTTGTAATGAACCGAAATTCTCATATCAATATTTAAACGCCGTACCTTAGATCTATACACTTGTTCATAGTCATGTGAGGGGTAATCAATATATTGTAATGAATTAATTGGTTTATTCCATTCATAATTCAAGATCTTAATCGGTCTCAGTCCACTTACATTGTCATTTTTTATACATAATTTCTCTAGATGAAGCGTTTCAATGCATTTATTTTTGTAAAATATACAGGTCTCTGGAATTCTTATAATTATATTGAGTATTAAAAGCTTGTCTTAATCTCGTTTTCTTCGAAATGCTTGTCACGTTTTTGAAGTATCGTTTATTTTCTTGATACGTAACAAGTGTACAATCTTCACAATTTGCTGAGGTTACTTCTGTATGTATTAAGCATAGCCAACTAGGATTAAGATAGTTTGAAGCACTCGGCTGGATCCACTGGGCTCGAGCTCTCTGTTAGATTATAAGGAGTTGACCGGGAATTCGTGAGATGTAAGGTACGCGAACTCATAATCAGAGACGTACCAGTAAGCTATTCAAGACTCAAACGTCATAAAATATACAGCTTTCTACAATCATCTAATTGAAAAATGCACACCACAAATAACAACCTCAGACAAGTACGATAGTATCATACCTTTACATCTCCGTAATGTCTGATATTTTAGTCCATTCGAACTTGAATTAACTAACAAATTCCAAGTATTTTCTGGGGAAAAAAGGAGTATTAGTGTGGCTGCTTTTGAGGCTGCGGTTTCTGGGACCCCACAGTTCGCATATGCTTTTTCATGGTCACGTAATTCATATAAATGTACTTAAAATAGTCAGCATTCTCGTCCCTCTGGAGTACACAAAATATATATTAGCAGAGTGGGCACTATCGCTTATTGGTGTTTGGACGTAAACAATTACTACTAGAAAGTTGCGACTAAGGTTTTCCAAGAATTCATCTATTACACCTAGATTAAAAAAAATTTCTATGGTTACTCACCCTGTTTCATAATTATCAACCAAAGTATTCCTGCAAAGCAAGAATTCACATTCTTATGCTCCGGGATATCTATCATAGACAAGCAAAGGTGTAGTGAAGACTGTGAATAGCCTAGCTTTGCCACACTTAATTCAATCGAGATATAACATCAGCTTACGTCAGTCGCTTTCAGTAGTTCATGGTGCTAACCATCGTCTGTCAAAATTTGTCAGACCCAGAGTTCTTCAAACACCGAAAGCATTAGCTATACTAATCAGAAATCGAGAGCTTTATGTACAAAAGAAATATGTTCATCTTCGTTTTCTACCTTGGCCAAGTTCAGATCCAACAATTCAATAGTCAATTCAATCAGAAGATAAATTATTATTACTATTATTAATCTTGTAAATATGCGTAGAATGTGATTAGCACACACCCTACTTTACCATTGCTTACTGAATTTATATCGTCGCATACACTATGTAGTTTTCCATTTAACATTTCATCCGACCTGTAATGAAATTATTATTTCTTTCATGCCATACTTACTTACTTACGCTTGTTTCTCCCAATGGAGCATAGCTACAGACCAACATTCTCCAACCCACTCTGTCCTGGGCCTTCCTTTCTAGTTCTATCCAACGTTTGTTCATTCATCTCGTAACTGTTTGCATTTTCGCCGTAATGTGTTCTTTCGTCTTCCTCTTCTCTTTTGGCCTTCACGATTCCGTGTGAGGGCTTGCCTTGTGACGCAGTTTGGTGATTTCCTCAATGTGTGTCCTATCCACTTCCATCGCTTCTTCCTATTTCTTCCTCCGTTGAAATCTAGTTTGCTCTTTAGGTATTGCGAGAAGAGTGATACCTTTGTAGTTATCACATTAGCTGAGATCGCTTTTCTTTGGTATTTTGATCAAAAGTCTTTCTTTCCAATCTGTTGGTAGTTGTTCTTCATCCCAAATCTCACTAAAGAGAATGTGGATTATCTTTACAGTTGCTGCTACGTCTATTTTCAGGGCTTCTGCTGAAATGT